CGTGTCCCTACCCACGCAAAGAGCTTGTATACATGGCATTAAACGGGACTACGCAAACAGGTACCTTCCAGTTCACACTAGAAGGGTCTACACGGGACAGTTCCAGCGCAACACTTCAGGGCGTGCTCCAACTCACACCCCCATAGTCCGCGCTGACGTTAGTCAGTCTTCCAGGCTCACCTGGAATATTATTAATAATTTTAATCAGAACTAGTGGATAGAGCACTGGGCTGGGACTCAGGAGCCCTGGGTTGTAATCTTGGCTCTGGCACTGAGCTGCGAGGTAACTGTGGATAAATCACTCCGCATCTCTATGCCTCCATTTCCCCATCAGTAAAATGGGAACACTGAGACTGACCTCCTTTGAAAAGCTCTGAGAGCTACTGATGAAAAGCACTACGCAAGAGCTAGGTATTATTATTACCACTCATAATACTTTGAAGTAACGTTAGTTTAAAACAAATGTATAATCGCATTTATCTTAAGACAGTGAACTACATTCTTCTGGGATCTTGGAATCTATGTTCACATGGATCGGTGGTTTGCATTTTAAAATACGAAGGGCCAGACACCACTGTTACCAGTCAGTGGCGCTCCAGTGAAGTCCAATGGCATTTCGACCTGTTGAGGAACTGGCACAAAGACAGGAGATATTAAAAAACGAGAAGGGAAAAGGGAGTAAAATTTCTTTTCCTACTACTTCAGTCAGGTCCATTTTTTGGCATTAATTATTGTCATTATTTATCTATGAGTTTCGTTAAGTGGGAGGGTGTACACAAATGAGGATGTAGTCCCTGCCCCAAGGAGATTACAATTGGGCATGATCCTGCTGTCATTGAAGTCAGTGGAAAAAATCACATTAAACTGCAATGGCTGCAGGACAGGCCGCCCACATGTTCAGGATTCTCGGTGCAATATTGCCACTAGTTTTCCAGTCAAAGAAAAAAGAAAAAAAACTAGGAACAAAAAGATTTCAGGTACCATTTTCAAAGGCACGTATATTTTCAAAAGAGATTTAGGCCCTAAGTTGCCTAAGCGTGCCCATGTCACTTTTGAAAATGGAACCTCGGCAATTTGGAACATTTTACCTTTCCTCCAAATTACTCTGGAAAATCCCACTCTGTATTTCCAACAGCTCCCACTGGAGCTAACAGGAGCTTTATGATGACTGTTTCACTTCAACAGGAGCCGACTTAGGCGGATGCTGAGCACTTTGGAAAGTTACTGTTCCATAATGTTGTGACAGATGTGAGACCTGGTCTTCAAAGGATTACCTTGAACAACGTGCCAGACAAGAATGGACTCTTAAAACAAAACCATTACATGGTTTTCATGGGGTTATCCAGACTCCGGTTATGCAAAACCCAGCCTTTTGAAGCTACGCCCTGAGGAGTGAGCTATTGTCTGCTGATCACCTCTTACATGAGGATAAGATCAAAGACCTAAGCAGCATAAGGGAAAGACTGAACTATTCATAATTGTTCTGATTCTGAACTTGAAACAGTTAGGAACTTGTCACCAGAGGGAAAACCCAGTTCTGGGTTTTGATGGACTGACACCGACCAGAGCCTGAGGTTGGAGTTGGGGTGATCTCTGGTGAGCTTTTTTTTAGCATGTATGCAGGTTCTTTTATTGTTTTTAATGTTTTCCCTGTAATGCTTTCACCTTAAGAATAAACGTGCTTGCCTAGAGAGAGCTGTGTGGTAATTTATAGCTGTAGGCCATTACACTGTTCATAGCCTCTGGAGAGAAAAGGAAAGTGCAGATGCTGGCCTGTACAGGCAGTCTGGCTTACAGGGAATATTACAGCAGAGGCAGGGAACCGTGCAACTGGAAAACCCCAGTCAGGAGAGAGAGAGTCGTGTGCCTCTGCCCAAGAGAGGTGGTGGCTGAGGAACTGGAAGCCTAGACTGGTGTCCTTGAGGAAGAAATACATATGCTGTTGCCCTAAATGGGTATATATATATATTTTTTTTAAAATGAGGAGGTTGCCAATGAAAAACAAGACTGAGTTTAATGTATCATTTTAAAATATCATATGTTCACTTACAATTGAAAAAACACTTTGTCTCCCAACATCATGAATATCTGCAGGTCCCTGGTCCATACAGAGACCAAGTATAATGTGCATTACAGAATGACAGTAGATCACATTTAACTCTTATTTACAAAGAAGTCTTAGCCCAGATGTGCAATCCTTTTTTCAGTAACGATTTCAGCAGAATTGTTAGCAACCAACTAAGGGCACGATCTCTTTCATAGATGCCCATGCACAACATATAAGTCTTAACAAATATTCTACAATGCATTGCAGAAGCTTATGCTCCAAGAAATCCAACAATGTGTGTCCCTGTGTTTGACAGGCGAATGGATGCACTGGTGGCACACAGAGTTTAATGCTTCAGTAATGCAAACGCCAAGGAAAATCCTCATGACCGTTCCTAATATTTTGAATTACATCGGATTTCAAAAAACCTCCAGCCACAAGTTTGCTTGCAGGTGCGTCATGGACACGAATGGCCTATTGCCTTCATGTGTGTGCGCACATGTGCCAAAAGCAGCGCGTACTAGAAAAATGACAATGATTCCGTAACATGTACGACCACAATACTCTTGTGAGAATGGGAGGCATGACAGCAATGTCACATCACTGAGATATGCTGCTTATGTAATGTGGAGCAGGAACTGGAAACACTGGGGCAAGTGAGAGACAGAGGAACACATTTAGCCCTACGCAAGCAAGTGCAACTTCTATTGTAGCTAACAGGGCTGCATCTACTTAGACCAGTAATTAATGTGACCCAGAGCTCCCTCATCCCCAGGCCACCCCTTGGATAATGAAGTAGCATGGGTGTCTCAGAGGTGTGTATTGTGATTATGGGGCGGGTGCAGCACTATGGTACCCTGCTCTTTGGACTTTCCGGCTTTTGTTGTTATGCCACAGCTTTATCGTAGATTATGGCTGCATATCGTATGTACCATGTTCTCCTGCAAACGTGCTGCAGCTACTGTCCATCCAGCATGTGCTTCTCTTCTACTAGGAGGGGGTTTGTTTAGCCTACCTTTCGAAACCATTTGTAATAACCATCTGATGAGCTAAACAAAGTGCTGATTTACATTCTGGACCATGCGTTTGAAGGCACTGAGGCTGCATGGGGAGGGAAATCGGCACAGATTTTGGCCCTGTAATTTCCAAATGCACAATATCAGTGTGGACAAACTACTTGCATTCATCTAATCTGCTCCTCCCGGCTGCAGTTCAAATTCCCGTCCATTTGTACCAATATAAACCTTGCAAAGCCAGCTCTCAAATCGAGGGTCCTCCACCACCCAGAGTAATGCATTATGTTTTTAACAGGTGTGCACCAGTACAAGACAGAGAAATACAGATTGATCTTAGATGAGGTGATTCGCAAGCCACGGTAAAGAAATGTAACATAGCTAATGAGAAGAAATGGTCCAACAGTAACATGTGCCCTGTAAATTGATCCCTATATTGGCCACTCCAGGCTGTGATATGTTACACATTCCGGTAGTCCTGGTTGTCTCTTTTACCGCCCTGCATGATTTCTACAGCAGCCACTCTCTAACATGCACCAATTTGCTTCCCTCTCCATGTCTAACTGGGATATTTGTCTTCTCTGAATCTGCGCTGTGCCAACACGCTGGGTCAGCATTCCCGACACCAGGATGCTGTTGCCAGGGAAGGCATCTGAATGATAGAAATTCACGGGGAAATGCAAAATAAATACATCACAAAATCCTCCTCGGGGAGGGAGCCCCGACCGAAGTGCAGGCTCCTGGCAGTGCTGAGGGGGGGCATGAGCCCAGCTGGCTGAAGGGAGGCCCTGGCTCCCCGCGCTACGCACCCCTTGCAGAGGAGCTCCCAGGACCCCTGGAGGAGCCTGGGCTGGACTTGGCCGTGAATTGGGAGCCCCGCAGACCTTGGATCCCCGGGTGGCTGCGGACGCGTGGCTCGTTCGCCAGGGAAAGCTTATTTCTAGCCTCCCCCGTCCCTCCCCAAACGTCGCCTGGGGGCTTTCTCCGCGTTTGCTCTGGCACCGGGGGACCGGGGTGAGTCCCACTCCGGCCTCGCTGTACCCCCGTTCCTGCACCCCAGAGCTGGATGATCCCAACCCCACGGCCAGCCGGCGGAGCACCGCGGCCGTGTGGCGCCCACGAAGAACGGACCCTGGAGGGAGGGGAACGGCAGCGCGCCGCCAAATCGCTCGCTCCCCGCTCCGGAGCGGGGACTCCGTTTCCGTTCACACGGCGGCTCATCGCCGCCGCGCGGCGGGGAACCGGGGCAAATGGGTTTACAGCGGATGATCAACGGGTCTCTTAGCTCCCAGCCCAAGCACCCGCTCCCTCCTCTGCCGCACACGCTCCAGATGGGAAGCGAGGGCTGACAGGACCCTGGACCGAGCCCCCAGACGTACTGTTTGCAGCGGGGGTCCCCCCTCACCCCACCCCCGGGAAGCCTTGAATCCGCGTCCATTCATCCGCTCCCATCCCCATTTCCCCCAAGTGGTCTCTGGCAGTGGGAACCCGGACTCTCTTCTGATGCCAGTGCTCATGGCAACGGGGGTGCCCAGAAAGCAAACTCCCTGCACTTCCCGAGCTGGAAAACCGAGCCCGGGCTCTCCGGAGAAGCGGGAGAGGGAGGTGATGAGCCGGGGGGGGGGGGCATGCCGATGGGGGCGAGGGGGAGGGTATCAGGAGGCAGGAATCCTAAGGGATCCTCTCTCTGCAGACAGCAAGTTTGATCCGGCGCGCCAGGTCGGTCCCGTCCCCCAGCTAACAGCCACGGAGGGGCTCCAGTCTTGCAATGCACAATGACAACCGAGCAGTGCCCCCCACCCCAGCCCCATCTGCACTGGGGAGGGGGGGGCGCAAACCCCTGCCTCGGCGGGGGTGAGCCCCACCTCTCCCTCGCCCGCGGCGGAAACTCCCCCTCCACCCCAGGTCAGGCTCGGGGGGCGGCGGGGGGCGGGACTCACCGTACACCCCTTGGCCGGAGATCCCCTCCAGCAGCACCGTCAGCAGCCAGACCAGCCCGTACACTAAATCCATCTTCGCGCCAGCATCCACATCTCCAGCCCCGGGCGGGAAGGAAGCGCGGGACCCGCCGCGGGCCGATGCCCAGCCCAGCGAGCGCCGAGCGGCTGGGCGCCCCGGGACAGGCGGGCGGGCGGGCGGCGGCTGCCCTCCCTCGCGGCAGCGGCGGGGCCAGCCGGGGGCCGGGGGTCGGTCGGCTCCTCGGCCCCGCGGGGTCCCCCCTCCGCCGGCTCCTCTCGCCTCCCCCGAGTCACTCGCCGGGCTCCGCGCAGCTTCCAGCCGCCTCCGGGGCCACCCCAGCCGGCCGCCGGCTGCCGTCAGATGCCATCGCAGCGCGGCTCCCGGGGCATGGTGCGCGGCGGGGGCCGGCAGCCGCGTGTCCTGCCCCCGGGCGCTCTCCGGGACCAGCCGCTCCGGAGAAGCGGCCCCCCCCCCAAAAAAAAAACCCAAAAAACGCCCCCCCGGCCGACGGCGGCAGCAGCCCGCGGGGAGCCGATGCACACGGCTGCCCTGCGGCCCCCAGCCCGGGGCCCCCTCCCCAGGCAGCGGCCGGGGCTGGGGATCCGCGGGGCGAGCAGCGCGGGCGGGCGGCCGGGAACAACGCAGCAGCCGCCGCCGCCCGGGGCCACGCACCTGCCCCAGCCCTGCCCGGGGATGCAGCGTCCGGCAGCGGCCGGGCTCGGCGCGTGTGTGAGCGGCGAGGGGCGGCCGGGGCGGTCACGTTGCGCTCTGCGTGCGGGGAGCCGGGGCTGGGGAGCCGCAGCCCGGCGACGTCAAAGCCTGCGTGGCTCGGCTGCCTGCCGGCCCGCCTGCCCGCCCCCTCCTCCGCCCCCTTCCCCGCGCCGGCGCCGAGCTGCGGGGGGGGGGGGCCCGGCCGCCCCAGCCCAGGGGCAGGCCCGCCGAGCCCCCCTCGCACGTGGGGAGGCCGGATCGCAGCCGGGGGCGGAGGGGACCCTCCTGCCCCTACGCCCCCGCCCCCGGCTTGAAGGGGGGTCCCGTCAGAGGCAGGGTTTGCAGCTTGGAGCCAAATGGCTCCCAGCACCCCCACTCCACAAACTGTACCAGCGCCCCTGCAAGGGGAAGCTGCTACCCTCTCCTGGCGCTTCTCCTTCTCCAGGGGTAGCTCCTCAGCCAGCGGCTCTTCGCTGGGTCCAGAGGCTGCCTTGCCCACCGACTCCTTCCACGCATTATTTTCATTAGGAGCCTGTTTTGTCCTCAGGACACTTTGCCTTCCTGGCCTGACTTTCTTCCCCTCCTTGGTGAGCGTCCTCAGTGTTTTCTCCCTTCCCAACATCTCCTCCGGGGCTAACATCACAGGGGGCCTGGGGCTGCTGGAAATGAGGATCAGCCACTAAGCTGGCTTGCCTTCTGGGCTGAGTGATGTGCCCAGAGGGATGGGAAGTCTGGCCAAACAGGTACATTCCTCCCCTGGTGTTTCCTCTCTTGGAAAATCCCTGGGAACTAGGAAGCAGGAGCCATCTACCACTTTCCGTGTGTATCCAGCCTAGCACCATGGGATCCCATTGATGGTTGGCCCTTCCCAACTACCCCACTAAACATGATTAACAATAGCACTGTCTTCACACAACGCACAGTCAACCTGTGGAACGCCTTGCCAGAGAATGTTGTGAAGGCCAAGACTATAACAGGGTTCAAAACAAGAACTAGATAAGTTCATGGAGCATAGGTCCATCAATGGCTATTAGCCAGGATGGGCAGGGATGGTGTCCCTAGCCTCTGTTTGCCAGAAGCTGGGAATGGCCGACTGGGGATGGATCACTTGATGATTCCCTGTTCTCTTCATTCCCTCTGGGGCACCTGACATTGGCCACTGTCGGAAGAGAAGATACTGGGCTAAATGGTCCTTTGGTCTGACCCAGTAGGGCCATTCTTATGTTCTTATGTTAAATGTGATGGCCCCGGCAGCCCCCCATTGGGCTCTGTTTAAGGAAGGCCCTACTCTCCATCAACTCCACTGCTCTTCCACCCTCTTTATCCCCACATGGTCTTTTCTTCCTTCATATATTAGATCTGGATTGGGGCAGCCCCATTACTTGGGACACTGTAAAAACTTGGAAGAGGAAGAAAGCCCCTCTCCCCAAGAGCCCACTAGCCAGGTTTAGGACATGACACAGCTGGGGGAGGGGGAGGGGGAAGAGGGTGAAAAAGGCAAAGAGTTGGAGAAGACGGAGCAGTGAGATGAGCCTATCGTTCAGTGTGGCACGTGCCTCCCCATTGGCAGGACCTGCCGGGGAGCTAATCAGTCTTCGCTAACTTGTGACCACTCTGTTAGAAATAGAGTCGAAGCACGGGGCATGCTCCGCCTCCGGGTGAAGGTCAGGGGAGTGCTTGGAAGGTCAACTGGTGTCTTGGGCTCCAATCCTGATCAGGAGTTGAGAGGGAATGTGAGGTGTTTGCCAGCTCCCCAGGTGCACCAGATATCTCTCCAAAGTAAGCCCAAAATGAGTTTGAACATGCTGCAAGACCCCATCTTTTCTCCCAGGCATGAGGGGAGGAGCAGTTTTTATGTGGGGGATGAACAGCTGTTGGTTGGGGAATCCAACATGAAATGGGGGAATGTCGCCCTCTTACTGCAGGTGAGTAGACTGAAGCCCTATTTTTAAGTGAAAATTTGAACCTTGCAAGTGTAGGGAGCAGACCCCTGTCTTCTGGTACACTGTTTACTTTGTATGGCCTGTCCACAGGAGCTCAGGTACGGGGCCAGCACGGGTTCAATTCCTATGTTAAGGCAAGAGTCAGACTACATCAATCTGCTCTTATGGCGCCGTGTCCTGTTAAATTCACTTACTGAGAACAGCCTCCCTTTGCTCCTGGGACCGAGGGCCGACTGGACAGCAAGTGATTCTTCTTTCTTGGACCCAACCCCTGCCAGGTTTCTCCTGAACCCACGCCGCTCTTGAATTATCCAGAATTTACATTGGGGTTAGTGAGGTCAGAATCTGGCCCTTCCACTTCAGTTCCTATCGTTCCACACAGCTGAAAGCTGGGATTGTAAAACAGCTCTTTAAGGAAAGCTAAATTTCCCTCGTACATGCCTGCCTATATCAGTGAAGGATTAGTGGCCGAGGCCAACAAAAGATGACATGCTGGAAGAAGCTGCAGCCCTGTCAAAGTCTCTTGTGACACCCGTGGCCCAGCCGGGTCAACAGCATTAACGAGGGTTGGAATCTTTGCAGTCATTCTTTAATCCCGGCCAGCCGCTGAGCTCTCTTTCTGTGCTCCTGGTTTGCAGTGATGTAGTGCATTGGGGTACAAGCACACGGCACACTGTTTACCGGAGGTCAGAGCACTGTCCATACAAGCTGTTCTTAAATGCATTCATAAATGCTGCAGGCCAGGTCTCGGCTCCCACGGGGGCTGTTTTGGCTGGGCTATCCGAGTACTCCCAATGAGGGAATGTGCACCGGGTATACAGCCAGCATAACGAGCTTTGTGCCAATGCAAGGGGCACGGCAGGGGTCTGTGCTGTGCTGTGCTCCAACAATTCCTGCTGCCCACACAGCCCCTTGGGGGTCAGGGCAGCTGTACCCGCAGCGGGCACCATCCGTTTCCACTGACTTCAGTGGGAGTTTAAAGCACTGATGGAATCTCGCTGGCCTGAGAATCTGGAGGTGGGAGGGTACATACAGCCGCATTTCCCTCCACCCACCCCACTCACCCATCCCAGATCGTGCCCAGATAGGAGCGCAGCTGGACACAAGGATTCAGCCGTCTGATTCCCATGTTCTTTGTAAATCCAATAGCACGAGGAGGCTCAGAAGAACACTCGAAGCACAGCACACCGGGGCATTTGTACAGCGATAAAATCCACTTGCTTGTTACTCACTGATGAGCATCAGGGTTTGTGAAGTGCCAGGTACCAGCGAGTACATCTACACTGCAAACAAAAGCAAAGACAAACCTCCACGGGGCAGCAAGCCTCAGCCCAGGTCAACTGGCTCAGCCTCATGCTGTGGCACTAAAAACAGCAGGGTGGACGTTCCCAGTGGGGCTGGAGCCTGGGCTCTGACCCTCAATGACACGGGAGGCTCTCCGAGCCTGGGCTCCAGCTGGAGTGGGAATGTCTACACTGCTATTTTTAGCGCTCTAGTGGAAGCTCAAGTCAGTTGGCCTGGGCTTTGAAGCTTGCTGCTGCAGGGTTATTTTGGTGGTTTGTTTCTGGGTTTTTCCTTTGTTTGTTGCAGCGTAGATCAGTGGTTTTCAAAGTGCTGGGTCGTGGCACGGCAGGCACTGGGCCGCTCTGGTCAGCACCGCTGACCGGGACGTTAACAGTGCCATCGGCCACGCTGTCCAGCTACCTGTTCCGACACTGCGTGGCGCCCCGGAAGCGGCCAGCAGTGGGTCTGGCTCCTAGGCAGGGGGGCCATGGGGCTCTGCGCACTGCCCGAGCACCGGCTCCACACTCCCATTGGCCGGTTCCCGGAGCCACGCGGAGCCGCTTGCGCACCTCCATCTAGGAGCTGGACCTGCTGCTGGCCACTTCAGGCACAGCGTGGTCCACAATGCCAGGATGGGTGGGAAGCCTGCCTCTGCACCGCGGCTGCGTCGCTGACCAGGAGCCACCAGAGGTAAATCCGTGCCCCAGTCCCCTGAGCCCCACCCCAAACCTGGATCCCCCTCCTGCACCCCAAAGCCCTCATCCCTGGCCCCACCCCAGAGCCTTCACCTCCAGCCCAGAGCCCTGATCCCCTCCCGCACCCCAGGCCCCTGCCCCAGACCAGAGCCCCCTCCCCCACCCTGAACCCCTCATTCCCGGCCCAACCCCGCAGCCCTCACCTCTGCACCCCAACGCTCTGGCCCAGCCCTGAGCCCCTCCCTTACCCCAAACCCCTCATCCCCAGCTCCGCTGGGGCACGGGCATCAACAATTTTCTTCAACTGGGTCCCTAGAAAAAATGTTTTAAAACCACTGGTGTAGATGAACCCGTACAGTCTACTCCACATTCCAGCATGACCCCCCAACAGACCATGCTCACTGTACAACCCCAGCTCTAAATACCTGAGTGGGCGTTTTGACCTGCCAATACAACTCCATTCATTACCCTTTCCATGAAAAAAAAATATAAAAAAATCAAACCAGCCTAAAATAGAGCCGTGTAACACCAAATACTAAGAGTATTTGCATGCCCCTCCTGCCTTGTCTAAGCTACGCAGACAGCAGTTCTGTACCGGAATACAGAGTGCAGAGCCCCAGAAGCAAGCCACTCACACACCACCTCCGATAGACCAGCAGGTAACATTGTGAAGACAGAGTCCATAGTGTTTAAGGCCATAAGGTACCATTAGATCATCTGACGTGGTCATCTGTATAGCACAGACCATTACATTTCATCCACATACCCCTGTACTGAGCCCAAAAGCTTGGATTCGACTAAACCACTTCAGTCCTCAGGAGACTAATCCGTTGTGAGCCACAGGCAGAGACCGGGGAGACCAAGGTGTCTGCAATGTCCCAGGGCCTGGCAATGGCAGGGAACTGATCAGGTGAGACAGGCCAAGAGGATCCATGCAGGTAATGGAGGTGTAATGCTGCAGAGAGGATTGTTCCACATAAAACACTGGGTTCCACGGGGCTTGCTGGCTCCCTGCTTGCTGCAGCATGCACAGCAGGAAAAGCGTGGAGAGGAGGATTGCCAAGCCGAGTAACTTCTCATGCTGACTATGGCCAACAGCAGCCTCTCTCTGTCTCTGCTGTTACTGCCCCGCCCAGACAGAGAGGGCTCCGTTCACTATTCATTCTTCTGTTGCAGGGCAGGGCTTGTTGGGGATGCAGGGCGAGGGCTGAACCGGTACACGATTTAGCCCTAATGGGACAAACTGAAGGTTCTGCTCCCTGAATTCACAAGGCCCCGTAGATAAGGAGGATCAAGTGCCCCCCGCCCCCACTGGAACCTGTGGAGGATGAATAGCTCCTGCAGGAACCTACTGCAGATGCCCTGGGAACCCGTCCAAAGGGTTCTCCATAG